ATAATAACAATAATAATAATAATAATAATAATAATAATAATAATAATAATAATAATGTTACTAAAACCTACCTTATGGGGAACTTAGACAATGGAGAAATTAGAGAACAATTAAAAAATCGATGTTAAGGGGAAAATAACATGACGATAAATAACACAAAATATATTCCCCTTAAATCTGATTTAGAGCCATAAATATAATAATAATAATAACAATAATAAATTTGCCCATATATGGGCATGATGATGCCATCATCATACTGATGGAAAAGTCACAAAAAACTCAATATAAGTGGGAGGGAGGTTGGCGCAGTGATTGCATTTAAAGTTCTCATTTTTCAGGTCAGGGGTTAGAACACCTAGCACTAGTAGCAGTACATTTCACTTGCATCGAGCCACTTTTACTACATTTATCTCTCTCCAGCTAGGAGTATAATTGGGCGCCTGGTAGGATGTTTCGGCAATGAGTGTATCAGTCTGTGCGCATTGCAGTATGACTAGGCAAGGCATACTCCCCATGAAATGACGGATTCAATAACCAGATCTAAAATTAACATCACATGACATTTCACAATCCATTCTTTCTGCATCTTCATTATCAATATATAAGACCTTTCCGGAGTGTTAATCAAACTTAACTGACCAATCAGAACAGTACTAGGAATAAGCGTGCATCTCACAAACACACGTGTTGTCCCACAAGGACATGTGTTCGCGTATATTTTAACACTGTCGTCTTGTGGGACCTTGGCAACAATATCCAAGGGGCGGGGCTTAGCGTAAAGGTTCATTATATCCCAAAATGAGCGCGTATTGGTTGTCAGGCACTAACGTATTCTTTATCGCACAAAAAGTCTGTAACAACTGCGCATATTTTGACGCGCTTTTGTGATTTCACGAACTAACACACAATCTAACTTGATTGTGTTAGTTCGTGATGTGAGCAACGATTTTAAGGAGTAAATAGCAGGGTTCGAATTTCCCTACAGAAGAAAGGGTAGAAAGGGTCTTCCACTGCTGTTGTAAATCCCAGGCTCGACCACAAGTTTTTGCTGTCGAAGTTACCTGACCCAGGCCTAGCAATGGTTTATATACTTGTACTAATCTAGAATAGGCCTTTTCTTAAAATAATTTACGAAGCTTGTTGCTGTAGAAGGAGAATAAATTGCTGTAGTGAAGCCATAACCCACAGCAAATATTTGCTGATGGAGCATTTTGAGGAACTTTGAACCCTGAATAGTCTGTCAATAATTTCCATTCCTTTGACTTAAGACAGTGCCATGAGCACATGTTGTAATGGTGCTATACAAAATTGACAATAACTATTCATAATTCAATAATATTTAAAAATTATTATATAAGTGATATAGCATCACTGGCAACTAAGCTAGCTATTGGTCTGTACTTCATTATATGTTGCGCGCCCTTTTCGAAATCAACGACATCAGCCCTGTGGAGACAAAAAAAGGAAATTTTAATATTGTTTGTAATGAAAAGACCAGCTCAATGAACCTCCACTTTCCTATCCAATTTATAATTTGTTGCATTTTATTCATGCAAATTATAAATAGAATTGTAAATAGCATTGCAAAGTTGGTTAATAGTAAAAAAAAAAAAACATTTTAACTACTAAAAATATGCATCATCTGCATTTTTAAAATTGTCAAAACCACTATTAAAAGATAGCACTCTGCATTCACAATCTAAACATTTAAAGGCTATGAAAAAAAACAATTAAAAGGTCACAATCCATACAAATAATCCTACTATGTACTATATAAATTATTTTCAACCCATATTATTTATTATTACTAACAATTTGTTGCAAAAAAAATATTCAGAGGCACCTCAAAAAGAAATTCTTTCACTGCAAAAATATTGACCAAATTAGGCGAGACTTTTTTTATACCTTGTTTCTCGAACTTATTTTTTTTAAACATCGTGACAGGAGGGTAAAAAATAAATAAAAAATAAAATTTAGCCTTCTTATTTAGCAAATGGTTTTGCCAAAGATGGAGAAAATAAAAAATAAATGTTACTGTTGAATGTAAACAGTGTAGTAATAGGATGGTAATGTTGAAAAAATATACATTTTTTTACTTTTGGAGATTTTAAGGTAGCAGCGGGCATAATAAAAATTAAGAAAAACTTTTTTTTCCAAAATTTCCATTTTTTTGTTGTGGCGGGTGTTCTAATTGGCCAAAAATAAAATTTTATTTTTATTCAAAATAATCAATATTGACGGGCGGTGGGTTCGCGAAAAAAGGTAGAAATAAAAGTCTTGTCTTACAGGATGATGTGACGCTTTATACACAAAGTCTCAAGAGGCTTAGAAGTAGATTTTGCAGGACCCTGGGATTGGATGGCAAGCTTCTTAACCACCAAATAAAGCATGGAAGTGGCTTACTAATAGTAATCTCCATACTAAATATATGTAATCTGTTTCCTGGCGTTCCAATATAATCAAAGACTTAACAGAAGCTACTTTTTAAATCAAGTAAGATGTGATGATATGTCATTTGGCCACCTGTTGTTGACAGAACTTATATTCCTTCTTGAAAAATCTTATTTATTTTTTACACAAGAGCGTAATCCATCCAATGATGCTGATAATTTGTGACCTTCGATGATATTAAACAAAGTATATTTGTAGGACTTGGGGCGTGAAGAGCTCATAATTCAGACACTTGATGCTCTATAACCTTGGAAGTCTCCACCTGATGCTCTGATATACTCTATAAGCGAGTCACTTCATAAGGCCGGAAAAGTGGGGGTCTAATTAATAAAGACCCACAAAGCTCAAAAACCAAGGGTTGGGCAGTGGTGTGCTGATTGATGATGATAACCAATGAGCTTTTGGAGTAAGCTCCTGGTAATTCGGAACCCCCAATGCTCTATGAGGGTTACTGTATAGAGTGGAAAGCGATTTAATTGAGACTCTAAAACCAGTCTATATGATTGGGGGATAGAAACCTGATTACATCAGACCCTAAATGCTTTATATGCATACCATTTTATGAGAATGAATGCAGAAAGCTAATTATCAGGAATCCTCTATGCTATATAACCAAGTTTTGAGACTTTCATTTTTGTTATTGTGTGCATATATTAACCTGAATAAAATAGGAATAATAATGAAGATATTTACTGATTATAACAAAATGAAAATGTGCCTAACTCACTGTTGTTCATCTGTTTCTGGTTCTATAAGAACTTGTTCTTGATTTTCATTTACTTTCAGAAAAATATAACTATCCATGTTTGGCTTTGGAGCAAAAACTATGATAAATGTAAAGAAAGTATTCAATTATATTCACATTAAAATAAGCTATAAATAATGAGGTAACATTTTGTCTGCAAATAAAATACCTTTGCCTCAGAACTTGACTATAATTGCATAATAACTGAGTTTTATAATAAAATATTAGCATTTCATTTATATATCGAACCATAAGATAGTTTTAATGTTTAGTATACGTCTGGATGGAATATGGGAGCCACTCTGATAGTGCTTGCACTCATGGTAATCCTCAGGGTATTGTATTCTCATTATGTGTTTGTTATATTGTTACCCGGAAATTACATAAAATAAATAAAATACAGTATTTATAGTGCAAAAAACTTCAGGTGTAATAGCCAGGGGCGGATCCAGAGATGTCCCAAAGGGGGGCCGAAAGGGGGGGCCAAAATTTTCTTTTTTTTTCTTTTTTTTCCTCCCAAAAGGGGGACCGGGCCGGCTCCCCCCCCCACTAAATCCGTCCCTGATAGCTAAAATTAATCGAAAGAGAACTGCTTACTTGTCTTTTCCTTTTCTAGTCCTTGTAAATTAGGTGGCATGTGGTTCAGTACAACTGATTTAAAATGTTCCTCTTTGTTTTTACAGAATCTAAAAACACACAAAAAAAACCAGATTATCATAAAAAAAATCTATTGAACTTTGAAGGCATTATAAAATACATGTTCATCCTCACATTTGTTAATCATGTAACAACCAGCAATCATATGCTTCTAACGAAATATGTCTCAAATTATGTAGCTGAATTGTGTTTGTGAGAGATAAAACTTAGTTCATCATATGCTAGATTAATTACATTTTTTTTCCAATTAAACTTTAGGCACAATGGCCAAGGATGCGAAACAATGTGACAATCCCTTCACAGTACATAACATGTCAAACACACATAGACGTCACATTATAAGGCTGAGCATTGGCTGAGGGACTGGTCGTGAGGGAAAATCCTCTAAAAGTGACAGAAATCGAAGAATCTTAACCACCAAACTATTCAACTCAACTCCAAATCTTAAAGCCCCATTCCCGCACTTTCTTCTAAAATAATTCTTTTTTTAGTGAAATTTTGATGGGAATGGGGCTTTAAAATCATTAACAGGATCAACAAAGGAATCAAACATAAAATTATGACACAGAAACTCACTCTCTGGCGTATGTCAACTCCTCTGGGGACAACCGTGCCGGTTCATCTTCTTTACGATTTCTTTCGTTTTCAAGTATGTAATCAACATAATCCTCAATCTGAAGAGACAAATTTTTTAGATAAAAATAATGAAATATTTACATTTACTAGCTATTACAGAAAAATTGCTTATTTATCATTAGCTTTCAAATTCTAAATTATAATAAATATTAAAGACCAACATACAAGTCCTCATCGAGATTTGAAACCAAGGCCATTTGATTAATGTTTAGATTCTCTACCACATGAGCTATGAGGCCCTTGGATTTTCTCATGAGAACCTTTTTTTTTTCTCAAGATATCAACTTACACTGACCATAACCAACTGCAAAGTTAATTTCCATAAATTAATATTTATAGAAAATGTTTAACAAGCCATGCAAACTTTTCTGTTCAAAAATATTTTCCAATGAAGTTGAACAATAACTGACCTTCTTAAGTCGTATTCTAAGGTAACTGCTGATGACATATCTTATACGATCAATCTAAAATGAAAATAAGGAAATCTTTACTTGGTACCAAGAAACAATGTGATAAGTATCTGAGAGAGAACGGAAAGAAACAAATAAAACTGAGGGAAGAGAAGAATAGTTATGCAGATAACCTGAGTTTGACCCAAGAAAAGGAAACATGGACTACCTCTGATAGTTCTTGAAACAATATTTTACAGATTTTCTAAAATTATTTATTTTAACAGATACATTGCTTTCAGCAATGAAAATACTACACATAAAAATATTTATCTTTCTTAGCACAACCTTTTAATTAGTCAATTTAGAACTACTGTAAAGTAATTCAATTGGAATTTATTTCTGGAAATATATAGTATTTAAACAAAAATATAGAATGTGATGATGCATTCCAAGGATTGTCAAAAAGTTGTTAAAAACTATCAAGTGGCTCTGTTCTGGCAGCATCTTGTTAAATCAAATAGTATAACAGTTAGAAGAAAGTATTATTTATTTTTTTATTTTTTGTAACTCATTAAGTATATATTATTTCTTAGGAAATGTTGCCAAAACCAGTAACCAGTCAATACTTTTGTATGAGCTCTACAAATTTGCACAAAATAGCACTTTTATTGGTATTAACAGTACTGGAAAATGTCTTTTAAATCATGTGTTCTGAAAAAAAAAAGAAGCGTATACTATACCTCTATTCTATGCAGAATAATTCTAAAATCCCCTTTCTTACAGCTTTTAATGTTATCTTCCATATGCTTTAACTGTTCCAGCATACATTCCACTAACTCAATTTTAGTTTCAAGCAGCTCAGGGGCAAACTTTTCATTCTGCCATGCCTGAAAATGAAATAATTTTTGTTTTAATCTATAGAATTATTATAAGATATGAATAATGCATAGGAATGTACATTTGTGTATTTCTTACAAGTTCAACTATGTAGTGATGTATGTTAAGTTAACAACTTTTTTTCTTTCTATTTCTCTCTTTAATCAAGGTGCACCTAACACAAGCATTTTCATTTTGATAATAAAAATATTCTATTGCTAATGTACCCACTATGAAACTGTTGGGCATCACCCTTAATGCTAACTTGAAGTGGTACGAACATGTTTATTCTAAGTAAGCTTAGGAAAAATGGAGTTTCCAGTAATGATCTTAAATTTATTTACACTATGTATATTCGTCCGGTTCTTAAGTTTGGCACACCTGAGTGGTCCAATGGCTTAACAAATGCACAAGATAATGCTATTGAACAAGTGCAAAAACAAGCACTTCGTATTTTATGTTGGCCAAATATTTATCACTATAGAGAAATTACTGGATATTTTAGGAATTGATTCGCTGGAAGATCGCAGGAAGAATCTATGTGTTCGATTTGCTAAGAGCCTTTTACATTCAGATAGACGTAGGGATTTTTTGCCTGAAGTTAGAGTTCTTAATCACAACCTGAGAAGCTCCACTAAATTTACTGTGCCAAATTCTAGAACCGAACGCTATAGAAAGTCTACTATCCCATTTTTGATAAATTTATTAAATGAATGCCTTTTTTTTATGACCTTTTTAGTCTATGAGTCAAAAAGTTCCTGTAGTTTCTACTTTCGATTTATTTTGTTTTGAATAATTTTTTGTATTTATTGTCTTAGTTTTTGTAATTTTGTACTTTATTCCTAACTTGTGTAATCTCATTTATTCTTATAAGAAATTTAAAATGATTAATACAATATCAGTGGTAATGAAAAATTAGTTAATTGTATAGTTTGATAAATTATTTTTCTTGTAACTTAATGAATGAATTTTAATTTAATTAATTTTATTGTATTTCCATTTTGAATTTATTGTATTTTTATATTTTATACCGAAATAAATGAATAAATAAATAAATAAATAAATATTAGAAGATATATAAGGTTTGATTTTATTGGTGGGTAGGGAATGTCTAGTAAGACAGCTTAATTTTCAGCAACTTGAAAATGAATGCGAGTCATTCCATGCAAAATCCACAGAGCCACGGAATATTGAACGTTATCCGCTAATGATAATGCACCTTAATTATTAAGCCCACTGCTTAATCTGCCATACCATACTGTAAAGTATTTTAATTGTGCATACATTATAACTACACTATTATAAAATGTTTCTCCATGTTTGTCTATTTTGGCAATTTTCTCAATCGATGCATGTCATCAATATTTCTTAGTCAAATGTTACCTGGGTCGCATACATAGGCCGACATCAGACAAATCTTTTCTTGCTTGATAAAAGAAGACCTAGGTCTACGTGTTAGAGGACTAAAAAACTAGGTAGCACTAGGTCTGTCACGCCAAAATTGGTCCGGGCAAAAAAGATCCGGCGGACAGATTTTGGCTGCCAAAGTCGGTCCGTCGGATTACTGTACTTTCAGCCGCTAAAATGGGTCCACCGGGTCGATTTTAGCCGCTAAAGTTGGTTCCCATTTGATCAAATTGATCCGTCGGCCTGGCTGCTTGTAAGCGTCTGCTGCCCGTAGGGTATGATTGTTTCTCCAATGGAGTGGAGGGAAGTAATTTATGCTTCTCCTACACTTTAAAAATCTTTGCAGTTACAGAATGAATTGTATTTTAAAAGCTTTTGTGGGTGTGTTTTATCAAACAATGGAGGAAATATATATCCTAGGCCTTGGCGACACAGAGCATGCAACATTTTCGGCGGCCGTGCTT